TGCTAGCCGCTGTCTTCCAGGTTGTTGAACTCGAGGCCCTGCTGGAGTCACCCCATCCATTCCCGTTCCCATATCCTCAGGCTCTTTGACTTTAAGGACCTATTGATCTCTGGTATCGCTGGCTCTGTCTTTCATAATAAAAGCTGAGAAGGCAGGCGGAGGAGAAGTAGCTGAATTCTTTCCCTCACTGGCTTCCAGAAGAAGCTGGAAGAAGTCCAGCAAATACAAGTATTGGCAAAATATATCAAGCTTCTGAAAAGTGCCACCTCCTGTGCCAGGGACATTCAGAAAGCACTGAAGAGCCTCTGGTGAGAATTTCAGCTCTGCCTCCACAAACTTAGGAAAGGTACTTCTCCTTCCTGAGGCTCAGTTTTCTCATCTATAAAAATTGGAGTACCTACTTCCTGAGCCTTACTTAGATGACTACTCGAAGGGTCTGAAATAGCGCGCAGCATGCAGTAGGCACTCAACAGTGACAGGTATATACATGGAAAGCATAGCGAAAATAGTTGAAGCTTTTTCACTGATTATGTTCCGAATTAATAACAATTATGATTTACTGAGCCCATTTATCCAATTCTTTATGAAACAAATGTGTATTACCTATCAACTTTATGCCAGCCATACTGCTAGATACTAGGGATATGGTTATGAATAAAATACACAGGATTCCTACCGTAGGACATCTTACAGCTTAGCCGAACACTTCACCTATTTCTGGAGTTGATTTCAAGCAGTCCAGAGATTGAACTTGCGAGAGGGACGGTACAACTAACAAACGGACCTTCCATGTACCCTCACAGCAAATATGCAGGATGTACTATATTGTTAAGAGAAATCTGAACCAAGTAGAGAGACAAAGACTCAGCAGAGTTCTGTAACAGTTGTGAAGGGCCAGAAAAGCTGTAAGAAGCCTTAGGAGACTATCAAAAGGAAAATCTCAAAAAACCTGATGGGGGGGCGCCTGGGTGGCTCAGTCATTAAGCGTCTGCCTTCGGCTCAGGTCATGATCCCAGGGTCCTGGGATCGAGCCCCACATCGGGCTCCC